AAAGTATTGCGAAAGCATCTAATTGGTTCTTTCAACAGAGCGATCTCGATCACATTCAAATTAAATTAGTTTTAATACCAAGAGAAGAAAATCCACGTGATGCTAAAGAATTGTTAAATATTTTAGAAGAGCTTAGACGAGAATTTTGAAAAAAATACAAAAATAGCAATTAAATACAGATAGTCTTTTGATTTATTTTTTGATTTATTTTGCCTCTATTTTTGAGTGGGCGGGGTTTCAGCCAAAGCTGCTCTACCAACCCAACCCACTACACATTTACAAATATCCATGCCCGAACCCGGATTCGAACCAGGGACCCTATAGCACCACAGTTCAGCTTTAACTGAACTGCGACACACGGGCCGGCAAACCACTCTCCAAAAGATGGCATTGACAGTGACAAGGATGATGTGCCTAGCGATAACGAAAATTAATTCTGTACCTTCAGAGATATAGGAAAAGGTGTATTGAAGCAGCCAGCTAACATCTTTTACCTAAGCGGTAGACTTGTGTTACAAGCGTTTCAGAAAAACTCTGGGAATTGTTCTTAGGGACAGCTGGATTTATTTGGATAATTTATTTTTCAGCTCTGACTTTACTGCAGGCTTTAATTGCTCGAGAAATCAAGTGTGTTGGAACGAAAATGCTCCCCTAAAGGATACAAAAAAGGAAAATCGAGGTTCGAATCAATAATGATATAATTTTAACACGACGGCAACAGAACGATCACACCAGGTGGCGGTTGCTCCTAATGAGACCGCGAATGATAGTTCATTGGCTAAACGATCCGATAGACGCTGGTCTAAAAGATCATACATACTTATTGGCCAACCAACTTTAAATGATGTTTATAATCAAGGAATAGAAGGAGCGTAGCCGTAAATGAGAGTACTGAAGGAGCGACGGACAGACCGACATCATCGAGATTTTTTTTGATTCGGATTCCTGGTGTTTCAAAACGTGTATTCCCATCAAAAGAGTAGGGGGAGAGTATTTTTTACCTCCCTTAAAACGCACTCGTGATGAAACGCCTGTTTTGCTCATGATACATAGAGAGCAAATCATGCTAGTAATTAATTATTGTGGAAAAAAAACCTTTTTAGGTGTTGATTGACAACTAAATAATATCTACGTGATAAATGTTTTTTATAAATCAAACAAAAAATTACCTGGACATTAATGTGTTAATATTCCACAATGAGAAGGTTGTTTTTGTCATGCTTTTACGCATATTTTTTGAGGAAATAGTAAAATTTATATTTGATATATTTCCATTATTTGGCCCATAATAGTTTTTGCACGCGTGAAGTTAGCCCCCAAACATTAAAATAATGAAACGTCAAATACTGCCTTAGTTTGCACGTTGCTTGCACATTTAGGCACACTTCGATTTTTCGTTTGCATATTTATCTAAGAAAAGATATTGAAAAAAAAAACAATTGTTGAGGGTGCCAACTTCACGATTTCGGTCACTCAACGTTAAATTAATTGAACGCTATACAGGGTGCTTTTTTGGGAGCTTTAGTTAAAAGTTTCTGGGAAAGTAAAATAGGTAGGTTTTTGAAAATTTGTACTTAGGAGTTACTCTGAAGGCTGAATCGATGTAAAATATTTTCAAAATGGCCGCACTTCCGGAAACACCGGAAGTAGATAGTAACTTCGTTATTTTAAATAGCAACCCCTATTTTTTATTGCATTTTTGAATTCTACGTGAAATTTCAATCCTTTTGATACCCATATGTCGATATCTGCCATTTATGGTTTTTAAGTTATTTTGACTTTAAGAAAAAAAATGGCGGATGCAGATGGTACTTTGATAATTGATTACTTGAAAACGGTTGTAGTCATGGCAACCTATTTTTATCAGTGCATAGAGAATGAATAGGGCTTTCTTTTAGTGCACTTAAAAAAAGTTAAGTTGCGTACGACCGCCCCTATGAATATCCAAATTTATGAAACTTCAAAGACTAAAAACTCAGTTTTTTTTTAATGGAATGACCATGTTCTTACTATTCCATGAGATAGAGAATCGAAATTGGCATATTTTGACTATACATGTTCCTATAGCTATCTTTAACAGTTTCTGACTTATTCCCATTTTATTGAATTGACACTATTTTTTTAGGTTTTTCTTTTTAGTAGTCGGCCATGATTCTATAACAATTGAATTTTAAACAAATCTAGTGACACTAATCCATCACCCACTGTTATAGGTTAACATAAGTTTTTCAAAATTCGAAAAATGACTCGCAGTGGTTTCACCTATTTTGGAATTTAATTGTTATTTATGGTGAAATGGGCAGAATCGCGGCGCGTGCTTTCCGTACATTCACTCAAAAACTGGAACGAAATTGTATGAATTTTGGAAATTTTGTCCCCCTAATGCACTACAAACCGTTGAAGCACAAGTGATACAAAGCTCTACAAGAGAATATTTAAGAAAATGAATTGAATTGCAAATGCAAGATTAACATATTAAATTCAATGCAAAATATAAAAAAACTTCGTTGAAACATTTTTGGTATGGAATTGTTGCTAGAACAGATATCACATTACCTCTCTTAATTTCCAGACTTGTTTAAGAAATTCAGTTGAACGACTCTGTTTAGATTTTTCAAAAATTTTCCGTCCTAATATCCTTAATAAATGAGTTATTTATTAATGAATTATTTAGACTAGAACTAGAATCAATGGTATTAAAGAATCCATTCCTTGATTTGTTTAAAATTCGATTGATATAAAATCATGGCCAACTACTAAAAAGAAAATGCGAAAAAAAATGGCATCAATTCCGAGATCAATTCAATGAAATGGGAATAAATCAGAAACTGTTAAAGATAGCTATAGGAACATGTATAGTCAAAATATGCCAATTTCGATTCTCTATCTCATGCAATATTAAGAACATGGTCATTCCATTTAAAAAAACTGAGTTTATAGACTTTGAAGTTTCTTAAATTTGGATCTCCATAGGTGCGGTTGTACGCAACTTAACTTTTTTTTAAGTACACTAAAAGAAAGCCCTATTCTCTATGCACTGATAAAAATGGGTTGCCATGACTACAACCGTTTTCAAGTAATCAATTATCAAGGTACCATCTGCATCCGCCATTTTTTTTCTTAAAGTCAAAATAACTTAAAAACCATAAATGGCAAATATCGACATATGGGTATCAAAAGAACTGAAATTTCACATAGAATCCAAAAATGCAATAAAAAATAGGGGTTGCCATTTAAAATAACGAAGTTACTATCTACTTCCGGTGTTTCCGGAAGTGCGGCCATTTTTAAAATATTTTACATCGATTCGGCCTTCAGAGTAACTCCTAAGTACAAATTTTCAAAAACCTACCTATTTTACTTTCCCAGAAACTTTTAACTAAAGCTCCCAAAAAAACACCCTGTATAGGTACTTCATTTGTTTGCAATTTGTTTGGAAATATAGGCACACCTCGATTTTTCGTTTGCGCATTTCCCTCGGCATTTCCCTAAAAAAAGATTCTGAAAAAATAAAATTTCGGGGATACCTTTACGATTAGCCCTCCAACATTAAACATTAAAATTTTCCTTTAGATAATTAGGCCCTAACCTTAAAATAGAACTGTATACTATACTTTATTCGATTTCACATCCCTAAAAAAGAAATTAAGAAAATAAATATGGGAGAGTACAATCGAAGCCACCGTAATCGGTTTTATCGCATGTCACTAAATGAATTTGCACTGATAGATTTTAGTTTGTCTATTTCGGAAACGGGGTGTCTGATTTCTGTTAGACCATTTTCGATATCACGTTTATTTTGTTAGTACTGGAAATTTGTGAGGCGATTATGGAATATAGTATATATATGTAGGCAAATGGACTGTATACAAAATTTCCAGTACTAACGAAATAAACGTGATATAGGAAATGGTCTAAAAAAAATCAGACACCCCGGTTCCGACAAACTAAAATTAGTACAAATTCATTTAGTGACATTTGATAAAAGTGGGAATGTGTCCTCCCCTACTTATTTTCTTAATTTCTTTTTTAGAGAGGTGAAATCGAATAAAGTATAATATACAGTTATATTTTATGGTTAGGGCCTAAAATTATGTAAAGGAAACATTGGTGCTTACATAGGCAAACGAAGTCAAAAACGAATGAAATATATAGCGCTCCATTATTTTAATGTTGGAGAGTTAAATCGTAAAGGTGTATCCCCCAAATTTTTATTTTTTCATAATCTTTTTTTTTGGGAAATCCGCAAACGAAAAATCGAGGTGTGCCTATATTTCCAAACAAATTGCAAACAAATGAAGTATATATGTATAGCGTTCAATTAATTTAATGTTGAGTGAAGTTGGCATCACCAACATTGTTTTTTCAATATCTTTTTTAGATAAATGTGCAAACGAAAAATCGAAGTGTGCCTAAATGTGCAATAATTATAAATATATAAATATAAATATATAAATTTTATTCCAGCAGCAAATCCAATAGTAACTCTTGTTCACATGCAACCAGAATGAAAGTTTTTATTTGCTTTTATATCAATTTTATTTTCCATTCCAGGAGTTCTATCGATATTCCTAATTTTAATAATTTATCTTAAAAAAAAAGAAGTAGATTCTATCCAATAAATAAAATTAAAACCTTATTTTTGTCAAATTATGAAGTGAAATTGTCATTATTTCCGGAAAAGCCAACAACTTATTTTTGGTAGGTAATCTACAGATGTAACTGTAAATTTACGCAACCATGCTGAAATTTGAAAAAGTTGCAAACCTATCTGGAAATTTCCAGACGTATTTCGAAATTTAGCGCTGCATTTAGTACCTAATGCACAAATTTGTGTGCAAGTTTACAATTTTTCAACATTTCCTATAACAAGAAATTCGTACACGTACTTGATAAAGCCTTAGATCATACATATATATGATCTAAAGCATCAGGACTTTGAATATAATATTCAAAGATCAGGATCAGTAAATTCTTCGAAGTAACAGGACATTCTTTCGTGTAACTTTACTGCAAGGTCTATAAATTTGTAAAACTTGTATGGTTCTTCTACAATTCCGCAGAAAATACGGTAGCATATTACATTTAAACTAATTTCCTTTTGGTAGGTAAGCGGATTTCGGTATACGGAACGTAAAGTTAAAGGACGTTAATAAAACCGTTTAGCTTAAGGGTGAAGCAGCTTTCGGTTCTATTATTGGATATTGTCTAGATTTGTTAATACTAAATAAAGCGATTTTTTCGTAAGTAATTAACTAATTAACGCCGGGGGTGAGTTATTTGAGAATTTCCGTTGTATTTACGTGAACCCAGGTGTGTTACAGTGTACAGCTTGATTTAAAGTTAGCAAACAGCGCCCTGCGGAATACAGAGATGCAAATAAGTAGAAAATAAATACCGTTTTTATTAAACAAAACGAGATATAAACGTCCCATAGCAATATTTCAAAGTTGCTCTCTTACTTAAAATGCGTAAAGCAGCCAAACATTTTATTTCTGACAATACAGATTAAGTATGAAGTAGGTACAATACAAGGAATGGGGATGAAGGAGAAAATTTCGTCACGACTACCACGCTTTGGTTGTTTATCATTCGATCTGGTGAACATTTGTAATGGCAGCGCGTGAGGTAATTTATCCAATAAATGCCCTTTGCTGCTATCTAATTCAACACTAGGTACTCACATACAACATGACATTATTTAAAACAGGTAATTTACAGAAAATAATGTTAAATGCTGTAATTTCCCTCTCGGTGTACTAACGGTAACACTGTGCAAATTATATACGCATAACGTGCGATTCAGACATTTAGGTAGTACGTTAATATCACAGTTTGTATCCACATATACTTATTGATAAAATACACACTATATACACCCACTTACACAAAAATAAACCTAACGTGTACCTTTAACAAAAAAAACATCAACCTATTTCTTTATTAATTACGTAATGTTCATCTCATAGCAAAATTTTAAGGGCTCAAGGTATAAAACTTTGCGGATCGCATTTCGTAATCAATAAACAATGCACATATACAGTTATCAATCAACTAATACATAGGGTTGACAAAGACTGAGATATGAACCTCCTCAAGTATCCGAAGTACAAGTGCTGGTTTTGAGGAGCTTCCAACTCGTATACAAATTTTTTTGCATCGATTTAATTTAATTACCAAAAAGTTTACCCTGATTCATATGTTTATAGTTCTAAAGGCCATCGCTAATTGAAATCTAATGGCAAACACTGTGGGGGTTGAAGTTTCTGACACTCAAACCCTTAGAGGTTGGTAGCGGGATGCAAAACTGTGGCTAATCCGTTTTTGCTAACCGCGTCTTTGGATGGCGCTTCCTTCGCATCGATTGCAGTAAGCGTAATATTGGAACGTGACGTAAGGGTAATGGCGGAAGTGGAGGCGTCTGCTCTACTGACCAGGAGACCGGCGTCACAATCGTCTTCGTTATTAGGGCAAATGGAAGTCGCTCGGTTCGGCTTGTGTTTCTCGGACGCGTGTTTTTTACGTGGGAAAACGCTGTTCTCCAAGTGCAACGTGGCGTTCACGTCCTTTCCGGCAGCGCACGTGCAGGCCTTCAGAAAGCTCTTCTTAAAGTTATCACTTAAAAACGCGTACAAAATTGGGTTCATGGCCGAGTTGGAGTAACTCAAGCAGAATGCGAGGAGATGAATCGTGACGACAAACTGGGACGGGCCCTCGTTAGTTGGCGTGAACGTCATCGCAATTTGGGCAATCCAATACGGCAGCCAGCACAACACGTAAACCGTCACGACCGTCAGGACCAAATTCGTCACCTTTCTATGGGAGCGCTTCTTCTCCTTTGACTTGTGCTTTGGTCCCACCGTTTTCAATTTTTGAATAACTAGACAGTAGAATATGAGCGTTAGGCAGAGGGGGATGGCGAAACTGAAGACGAAACTGTACAAAATAAACGTGGTCGCCTTCTGTTGGCTCTCCGTGGAGTTCTCGGTGGAATTCTCGGACCAAACGATTACGCACGATTTGAAGGATATGTTCTGCCCGTTTTCGCCGGTTCGCCAATTCTCCTCCTGCTTCGAGTGGCTGAATATCGGTATGATTAGGATGATGCTGCAAAACCAGGCGGCCACCGAAACGCACCTCGATATGAAGGGGGTGCGAAATTTTGGCGAGGAGATCGGATGGCAGACCGCTATGTATCGGTCGGCGCTCATTATGAACAGAAAGATGCTACTCGTGAATTGGTTGATGCTGGCCAGTATGAGATAGGCCTTGCACATCACTTCACCAAATATCCACGAACTTTTAATCATCGTCACTAATAAAAACGGTATACCAATGAGAAAACATTCGTCCGCTATCGCTAAGTTGACGATGTACATATTTGTAACCGTTTGCATTTTGGAAAAACGTATGACCACGTAAATGACGAGGGTGTTTCCTAAAAGACCCACTAAACAAACGATCGCGAATAAAATTTCTTGCGAGATTAGCGCTATTGATGACGCTGGTATTGATGTGTGAGGTTGATGCAGAGGTATAGTTGAATTTGGCGTTACCGAGGCCAACATTGAGTCGTTCAGTGTTGCAAATGTTAATGATTCGTCGTCAAGTTCCATTTCTGTTGATTATGCGATGCGTACTTGTCCTGTAAATGTAACACTCATTAGTGTCACGTTACTAAAACGGTTGCAAAGCGACAAAGCTGCTACTTCTAAAAAGCAAAGCGGACATGCAGGAAAAAAGGGTGCAAAAGGATTCAAAGAACGTGATATATAAATAAATTGGTTGAGTCTTTACCATAAGTGGTAATTTTTGCAATATTGTACATTTTTGACACCTTTTTTTGACAATTTGTTTTCTCCGGTTTATTGACATTATTTGCTGTCTGTTAATTTGTTTTTCCTGTTTATAAACATTTTATCGTTCGTTTGAAATATTATTTTCTCAAGTGCGTTTTTAAGGGTTTTTTTCACAGTGCTTCGCGGTATGCTTGCATCCATATGGCGCTGTTTTCTGTCCTGATTATTTCTGCATATGCATTTGGAAATAGAAATAGAAATAATTTATTACTGTAAACAAGAAAATTTCACAACCAAATTTACAGTCAATAGACACTAATTTTATTGATTACAGCTAGGCACCTCATTAGCATTAGCTGTGTTGAGGTTGCCTTCATAATTGAAAATAAGAAAATGACTAAGGTGGCTGCTCCCCAGCAGCAATACCAACATACTATATACAAAGTTTAAATAAAAATTAATACTGGAATAATTAATAATTAATTCATTAGTTAAATGGCAGAATGTAAGACTGCTTCATCGCACTATACCTACATTATACTAGTGCTAATTTTACAAGCATTATTAGATATGCTCAAACTTAAAAAAAATATTTATATAATATAAGGAAACTATAATAAACATAATACTAGAAAAAACATTCAACAGTTTCGTGGCTAAAAGTAAACAGCCACGTTTTTAATCCTTTTAAAAAAATTGTCACTCTATTTAAACTAGTGATAGAATATGGAAGTTTATTGTAGAATTTTACCACATGGGTCATCCCGCCTTCATTTTTATTTCTGATCCACAAAGTACATTAAAAATAAAAAGACCCGTGTGTCCTCAATTTTTATTTGCGAGTAAAATAAACACCCAAAATAAATTATTGAAAAACTCTGTGTTTTAGTCCGAATTTGAAACGCTTCAGACTAAATACGTCACAAACCTACAACCAATCACGTAGAAGTGAGCTGGCAACCTTTACGCGAAGTCTGACGTTTGTCACATTTGACGTTTTGAGAGGATGTTTAACTGCATCTAGCACGAAAGTTGACAAGTGGCCTGTGACAGATGACGCAAATTATAAATGCCATTCTCCTGCAATATTGCCAAGTCGTTATGTCATCTGAATGGTTCTAGAAGCTGATTGGTCGAGCTTATTACGTCCACAGAGCCAGCCACAATAATATCGTTTGAATAAACCTTTAAAACCGCACATGTTCATTATTTTTGGCTAATCAGCCTCTATTTTAAATAACTTTACTGTCCAAAAAAATTGTTTTAATGTTTCGGGGTACACGCTTATTAAATTAGAACTGCGGATTTCAACTATACTGTAAACCCCCATGTATACATAAAACCGCTTAAAAGCCTCACACGAGGGTCTTGGTAAGGCTACTCTATTCAAAGATTTTAGCCTAGATGAGTAGACTAAAGAATTACCTACTTTTTGACCACCCCTCAGATAAAATATACGTAAGACTCTAAATATGTAGAGATGCCTGATTGGGAGAATTCGAAGAGACTGAAAATGGGGAAAAGAATGCTCAAATCTTCGAATTCCTGATATTTGCCTAACAGCTTTTTTTTGAGCGACAATAATTGGACGTAGGATACTTAGATACACTCCTCCCCAACAGACTATCCCGTATTGAAGCTTACTGTTGGCAAGGGCAAAGTAAACGGTTCTCAGAATATTCGGAGGGCAGACATATTTTAACAAGTAGAGTTTACTCAAGACCATATACATATACTTTTTGATTGTCTGAATATGTGGTTTCCACGTAAGATTTTCATCTAGTTCCAGCCCTACATACTTAATACTACGAACCTGTTCGATTTTGAGACAATTATCACAACTCAATATTAACGGACCTTTTAGGCACTTTTTACATTTGAAAAATACACTGTCTAATCCCCTAGCTCTATTTCTCAAGAAAAAATGAACCAGTTTGGTTTTTGTGCTCAAGGCCATTTTATTTACGGTAAACCAGAGTTTTAAGTTGTTAAGGTCGTCTTGAATTCATCACTCATTTTATAACATAAGGCAGTGTCATCGGCAAAGCAAGTAAGATCACCATTGAAGTTACCCGAACATAATTGATTGATAAAAATAATAAACAGAATTGGCCCTAAAACAGAACCTTGGGGTACACCACACGTTATTGGCAACAAAGAACTATAGGATTGCTTGATCCGAACACACTGTCTTCTATCCTACAAATAACTACCAAACCCCTGAATCCCGCTTCCTGCAAACGTGACAGAAGTAAACTGTGATTAACAGAGTCAAAGGCTTTCGTTATATCTATAAAAAGTCCGGCTACCGTCAAATTAGAATTAATGCCATTAAAAATTTCAGAGCAAAAGAACAATAGTGCGTCCTCCGTAGATCTGTTTTCGACAAAACCATACTACTTTTTACTTAAGAAATTATTTATGTTTAAAAACTTCACTACTCTAATTTTTACAATTTTTTCTATTATTTTAGAGAAAACCGAAAGCAAGGATATTGGTCTGTAGTCGTTAAGGTTTGTCACATTCCCTTTCTTAAACAGAGGAACTACTACAGCTTTTTTTAAACAGTCAGGGAACTCACCAGTTTCAAAACTCAAATTAATTATGTAGGCTAATCAGGACTAATAGAAACACTAATTTTTTTAATGACATGAGCAGAGATGCCATCGTAACCTGGCGACTTATTGGAGTTTAGCTTCCCTATGATACTATGCACTTCTTCATTACAAGTAGGCATAAAGAAGAAGGAATTTGTGGTATATGTGTTTGGAAAAATGTCTCTGTAATCGTTACCGCTACAACCATCAGCCGAGTCTAAAGTGTCCATTAGCTTCTCAACAACTGAAGTAAAATATGAATTAAACTCATTGGCTATACCAAGAGAATCCCTTATTGTAACATCAGGCTGAGCGACACTCCTTATACTGTCAATGTTTTTTATTTTACTGTTTTTTAGGATTATTCTTATTTCTATTGAACAAATTTTTATAATATGTATTCTTTTGTTCTATAATGGCGCTCTTGAGTCGCAAGGAAAAGGAATCAAAATAACGTTTTAATTTCAAATTATTGGGATTTTTTTTGACCTTTTTATATAAGATATTTCTATGCTGCTGCCAATAGCATTTATGCATTTATAGTGTTGTCTTAATGGTTTCTACAAGTTCAAGAATCAGTGCTATTGAATATGAGCCGGATTAAAAGTCTGGATTCCGAATGCGAGCTTAGTGGCCCTTACCGAAAATCGTATGCGATTCTTCGTATCTTGTTAGATTATCTGTATTTGCTTGTTGGACTGAATTTATACTTATTTACAGTGTTCATTCGCATTATGGACAATTATAAAGATACATGTGAAGACGCTTATAGTGTTAGAAAAGAAGTTATTGGTGCTTTCTGTAAAGCTATCTCTGCTCTTACTTCGGAATGTAAGGACATCGAGTTTGAGCTATGTTTTGATGACAAAGTTAAAACTAGTGGCTCTAGATGTCGAAATTTAACTAGCAAAGATGATTCAGATCAGTTTTAACATTCAGGAAGTCAAAAAAGTGTTAAAAAAAGGAAAAATTGAAGAATAGGTTAAATTTAAAATTAAAGCATCGATTTACAACACGATCATAGCACCGACAATCTTATACGGAGTTAACACCTCAGCGCTAACAAGGAGCATTGAGGAAGAGGAAGCGGAAGGCACTAAGGACACTGATGCAAAACAGCATCTTTACGAGAAAGCAGATAAAGGAATTACTAGAGGGAAAGACGCGATCGCCAGGAGGTAGATGAGATACTGGGGACATATAAACAGGAGGAAAAAGGCCAAAGAATCAGACATAAGCACAAGTAGCCAAGAGGAGTATGAAGAGGGGACGGAACGATACCAACTAATTTCCGAACGCAGGCGACTCGGTTTTGCGCAACTCGGCACCGTACTACTCGTCATCGGCGGCTCAGTTCTGAGACTCCGGGATCACTCCCCACACAGCACAGAATAATCTTCGTATAAAAGGGCATAATGTTCTTTTTTGAGAATATTCTATGGAGAATGTTCTTAAATATTCTAATTTTATTAGCAAAAGAATATTCAAATTTAAATGTTCGCAGAATAATCCGAGAACATTCCACTTTCAGAATGAAACCTATTGAATGTTCATAGAAAAATGTTTTAAGATCTGGTATATTTGTACAAAATGTTCTTGGGATATTCCGCCTGTTTAATGATTTTACATTTAGGGGCTTTGGTTTTACTCGCAAATATTAAGGTGGTCGTCATGCATGATATTAATTCATTCATCATCATTGTTTTCAATTTATATCGTCTGTGTTTAGTCGATTATTAATTTGATTCTACCACGCTGTGTATAAAAAAATCAAGAACTGTTTATAGAAGTGTTCAAAAGATATTTTCCAATTATGTGTTTCAAATAAATTCATGTAGGAGGAACTCTATGAATGATGATACGTTATCACAGGTGTGGATAATTCTGTTTTTTATGAAACTTCATATTTCGACCCTGAAACAAGGGGTAAATGTGTTTGTTCATCACCAGGTTGGTGACGTGGAAGTAAACATTAAAAAGTGGTTGGTCAAGGCAAAACAAAGGGTTACAGTCCAAACAAAACATAAGAAAGCACCGCTTGTTAGCCGAAACATGTCGCCTTAGCCTTATTTTTCAACATCAAATTTTTGAATAAATTGAATTTTATGGGGAAGGTTTTAAGTTCTTAAACGTGGATTACAAAATATATTCTTAGAATGTTCCTAGAATAAATTGGAACATTCATAAACTGCCTTTGATTATACCGGTCAACAAAAATAGTATATTAAGATACAAGTGTATAATCAAGT